TGGGCAGTGTTTCTCAAATTTATATGGCAGGATAAAGCATCCAGCATTAACAGAGCTATCTTACTAAGATCCAAACCTACGGGAGGGATGGGATTCCCAGATCTTGCCATGTACTATACAGCAGTGAGAGTAATGGATTGGTGCAGAAATGAGTCTCAAAAATTATGGCCATCTCTGGAGCAAGACTTCACATCCACTCCCCTTGCGGGACACCTTGGCTAGGTAAGCAGCATACACAGGATCTCTACACCCACCCTTTGATCGGGCCGACTTTACTCAAACTAGACAGATTCAACAAAATGTCAGCAATTCAGGGCTTTCCTTCACCTATAACGCCCATAATAGGTCACCCAGAGTTTTCCCCAGGGCTGTCAGATAGGGTCTTCAAACCTATGATGTGAAAAGGGGCTCCTGCAAGCCACTAATTTTTTGCATTCTGACAAGTGGGCTTCCATTGCTGACTTTTGACGTACTCCTTGACCCCATCTTTAGAAATGTGGAGAATCCAACAGCTCACTCACTTCCTCTGCTCTATGCCAAAGTCCACCTTCTTTTACATACAACTTATAATGTTTGAGGAACATTGCCAAGGCAATGGTGCAGTTCAGAAGACCCTTTTTATGTCCTACCAGCTCCTACTGAGCATACACACCCAACAAGACCCTATCTTGCTAAATGGGAAAAAGACTTGAATATTACATTCACTAAACACCAGAAAGAAAGCATTCTATAACTTCCACATAAAATGTGTTCTCTCTGGTACAGGATTGCTCCTTGTCAATTTTTTTCTGGTTAAGGATTACTGCAACAAAACAACCTGTGCTGGAGATGTAGAGCCCTCAAAGACACATTTCTAAACATATTCTGGGACTGCCCTGCCATACACCCTTTTTGGAGGCAGGTCCTTTACATAACCTAAAACCTCAGATTTCTCTCTTTGAAAACCCAGCTGCTGTCCTGTTGAATATGACATCACTGTCCAGGAAGCACTACCATAAATCTCTCCTTAAAGTGGAACTACACTGCATCTCAGCACCACAAACCAAAAACACTATATAATTGATTTTTAATATTCATAGTAAACTCCCCCATGTCTCCATTCTTTACACCATGTTTACACCATTTTTCACCCATTTCTCCATGCTTTATTTTGCATAGAAAACAATTGGAAAAAAAACTCCCTAGCATTTCTGGCTGTGGCCATCTTGAGTAAGAGCAGATGATTAAAGCAGCATTAACTTCCTGGAATCCATACACCCTTAGCTCAGGCATGCAGGCAGATGGGTGTGCTTAGCTAAAAAAACCCTCTTCCCGTGAAGACTCCTGGGATGTATGACATCATTTGCCTAGACTTGAAAAACCATGAAGTAACTGGGAAAACAAAAACAAATAAATATGATATACTTTCCTATCTATTTACTTATGCTAGCAGCATAAGGATTTAAAATTGTAAACGGTGATTGAGAATTTCCACTATGAACAGCTTCTAAACGCTGCTAAAGCCTGTGTTCCTTGCATGGGGAAACAACAGTCTCCTCTTATTGCAGCACAATGGTTTGCCAACGTGAATGACATGCAATGCATGGAACAAATTACTTCTGCAATATTGGATAAGTCTGAGGAACATAGGACTAGGTGGCTCTGTTGAGACCTATTCCAGTCCTCTGAAGAATACCTCCAGTATGCATAGGCGCTCGCCTATATTACCCTCTCCTGCATGGTGGAAGGTGCCACCCCAACTGCCCCATCTGGCCCTTTACCACCTCCCTCGTCTTACTCCAACATTTATTAATATAATTTTTTTTTCTTTCTCCCCCTCTTTCTCCTCTCTTTCTTTCCTCCCTTCTAAAACGTTTCCCCATCTACACCTAATAAATATAAAAAAAACCAGGCGAACACTGGACTGGTACACGTGGATGATGGAATATTCTTTCAGAGAGATGTAAAATTGATCATTTACAGTTCTAGTATTCTAGCCTGACACAGGTCAATTTAGGTTTATTTGTTTAATCTCAACTATGTAAATCTTTGCTAGTTACCAGAATCTTGTCAATGTGTTCAATCCAGATGTAAGCCTTTAAATAAAAAATAAAGTGTAACTCCAGCCAAAACATTTTTTAATCATTGTGGATCAAGAGGTAGTAACCAGAAATCTCCCAAAACGAGGGGAAAATTCCCCTCTCACAGCTGTCACAAAACACTGTCTTCTACATCCATTATCAGTGTAAATAAGTCTTTGGTTGTGACAAACTATACAGAGTGTTAGAGGACTACAGAGACTGTACTAAGTTGGGGCCCTTATGTGCAATCACCAAGCCTTCAACTAAGGATAGAGTATGAAGTGCTTCACCTTTGGGAAACACACGAGTCCACCCAATTTTACAGAAAGCTATAAACGTGCTTTTCCTTCACCTCATTTGTACACACAAGAAAATGTACCTGTCCACAGACGAAAAAAAATGTTTTATGGCATATTTGCCACAATCATTTTAGCCTAATTCCCACCACAAGGACTCATTTACAGAGGAAAGCAGATTTTCCAATCAGCTTTCTGTTATACTCTGCTGGGATCCAAAAAACCTAGGCCTGCATTTTATGGCCCATTCATAAAATGCAGTCCGTATGTAACCTGTGATGCAGTTCTCTCTTCAAAATGGAACAAAGAGAGAGGGCTTAGTGGTTGAGGAACTGGCTATGTGACTCTCCTTTATTTTATTTACAATCCTCGTTCAAGTTCAGAGACAGAAAACAGCTGAAAGTTGAAAATGGTTATAGTTTACAATTTAGCCAACATAATAACGTTCTTTTAAAATTTTTGCATAATTTTTATAAAAAAATAAAAAATGGGCTAATTCAGAAAAAGTCGGTTATGACATATTGACATTTCTATGTAACAATGCCTGGCAGAAAAACTTCTGAATATCTGTATGATCTTGTTCATATGTTTGTTATGGACAGTTCTTTTCTCTTGAATAAAGAAATTAAAAAAAGCCAACATAATGATTTCCAGTTAGCTTCCAGAGCTTGAGCTATTTTGCAAACAAGAATGGGCAAAAATGTCACTCTATAGATGTGCAAAGCTGGTACCCAAAAAGACTTGCAGCTGTAATTGCAGTGAAAGGTGGTTCTACAAAGTATTGACTCCGGGGGGCTGAATACAAATGCACGTCACACTTTTCAGATATTTGTAAAAAAAATCTGATAACCATTTATCATTTTCCTTCCACTTCACAATTATGTGCCACTTTGTGTTGGTCTATCACATAAAATCCCAATAAAATACATTTATGTGTTTGGTTGTAACATGACAAAATGTGGAAATATCAAGGGGTGTGGATACTTTTTCAAGGCATTGTAAGCCTTATCATTGTTTCCCAAAGTTTACAAATGCCAGGAAAAATACAGGAATAAAACTATAGCTCCCTGGTTTTGCCTGGTGTGAACAAATAATCAAATAATGAAATTTACAATGCAGATTCTTGATTAGCTCTGGGAAATTAATCTTTATATGAATCAAGTAAAAACCCTATTTTATAACTTTAAAAGTGAATTAAAACCCCCTTAGCACTTTGACTCACATTTCTGTGTGAATGTACAACCATTTTTAACATATCCATTAGACATGATATTGGCTGTAGGTAACGGTTTTATATTATAAGAATCTTTCACTTTTTCATGTAATATTAGGTATCCAATTTACTCTGCAACTAAGAAGCAAGCATTTGTTTTCGGAATACATTATCTAAATAAAAAATAAGTGTAATGGTTTAGAAAGACCAAACAAGGATAACGGAGCTTTGTGGTAATAAGTCTGCATATGTGACCAATCAACAACCTGCTCTATTACCAAGTTACTCAACCCAAATGGTATATTTTAGTTATATACAGCTCCCTGCAATGTGTGAATTATTAATTCCTGAAATACATTCATAATCCAGCAGAAAATAGTTTGAATGTTGCCAGTTATTATGTTTTTTTTCTCTCAAGCATTGTATGTTTTATAATTGTGCATCTCTGTGAAGTTGTTTCTTCTGATCTCTGCCCCATTTTCATTAAAATTCATGGAGCTGGAATACAACACACTATATGGCAATTTTTTTTTTTCTCCTCTCTCCCTCTTCACTCAGGACTGACAAGCAGCGGGAGCCATTGGCTCCTGCTGCTGTCAGTCAAATTCAGTGAGGAGGGAGCAGAGGCCAGGGCCGAAACGTACTGGATGTGTCAATAGACTTACACTGTACAGCTTGGGATAGAGCACGCAAGTCTTCCCCCATAGCAAGCGGCTTGCTATGGTGAAAAACAACACAGAAGAGGAGGAGCCAAGAGCACCAGTGGGGGACACCAGAAGAGGAAGTTTGGGGACGCTCTATGCAATACCATTGCAAAGAACAGGTATGTATAACAAGTTTGTTATTTTAGAGGAAAAAAAAAGCCTTTACAACTACTCTAATATGGAGCAATCAAACCTGCCCCCTCTGCCCCCACCAACACACACAGTATGTGGCTTTAACAGCTTCTCTTCCTCTGGAAGGGTATTAAGGGTTTTCCACAAGACTTTGGAGTGTCCATGTGGGAATTTAAAAATTCAATAAATGGCAGCAGCTCTGATCACTAAGAAACTAGCACATTTACATATGGCATTATGCCTTCACAAATGCATGCAACAAAGACATGTATTTAACCTGAGTCGTTGAGCAAGATTTTTTTTTCTGTTAGCCAACTTGAAAGTATGTTCGGGACCTGCTTTGTGGGAACATGCACCCATCCAACCATAAAAACATTTGTGAGGTCAGGTACTACTGATGCTAGAAAAGAAGGCCTGCTTTACAATTGGCATTCCAATTCATCAAGTCGAGGTTAGGCCACTCAAGTTTTTAAACACCTAACTGGCCAATGAAAGCCTTTATGGTGCTGGTTTTGTGCATAGGGGCACAGTCAAGTTATGACTGAAAAGGGCTTTCCCCAACCAGCTGCCATGAGGTTTAAAAACACACAATCATCTATAATAACTTTGTACTATAAGTTATAGCATTAACAGCACCCTTTGCTGGAGACACCTGAAGTCTATAATTTGGCACATTTGATGCATATTCTGTAGTTACCTTAAATAATAATTCGTTAGTGTTCTTGGCACAGTAATAGAGCTTCACATTCCCCATTCGGAAACCTCTGCCTGTTGTCTCCAGGGCTTTGTGAAGGTCAGCAACATGTAGGAGTATAGAAAACAAAGGATTGATTCCTACTCCACCAGCGATTAAGGCCAGATCCACAGGAGAGTCTGTTGCCTGTGGATCAAAGAAGAACTCTCCTCCTACTCGTAATGCTACTTCTGAGCCGAGGGAACACTGAAAGGGAAATGAGAGACAAAAAAATAGTATAAGGACACATGAGAAAACCTGTACATGTGAGACAAATACAAACACCACATCATGTTTAAAATAATATCTATATATTAGCATGTGTGTGCTTGATTTATATGCCACACACACTCTGTGTCTTGGGTTCGCATTATTCTCCCATCTATGCAAAAACCACACCCACTTTGTCAAAAAGCAGGCATGATTTTGATGAAGATGGGTGAAAAGTTAGGTAGTAAACGTATTTTTCCCTGGCTTCCTGCCAGGGGAGGGCGTCAGCATCTTTCTGATGAGATCTTGAGGAATGCATTGAATCACGTGATGATACTATAGCACAGTGAATAGCATCTTCTCCCAAGATTGGGACTACTCTGCATTTCCTGGAATCTCACTAGGGGTACTCTGTATTCCCCACCTAGACTCCACAGAAACAGGGGTAAGGTTAGTGTATTAACTATTTACTTTCAGTTTCTTTTTAATTGTAATACAGAATTTTGACATAGGGGAGGTCATTGGATCTGGCATTTTAAGTACAAAGCCCACTTTAAATCAATGCATTGTCCAAAATAATATGCAACTACGTAACAGTTTATGACAAGTCAATGTGAACTGCTCCTGGGAGATTTTTAATGGTCACTTACCTCCTCAATGACGTCTAATATTGGTATAACCTACGGTACAGGGTTTATTATCCCTGCAGTATACTAATCCTGTGTACTGTGCAGTAATCTTCTGCTTACGCAGCCTACAACATACATCAATGTGCTGACTATACTTTACTTATCCTACCACAAATGTAAGTTTTCAGCAAGGCCTGAGCGAACAGAAAATCTAAATACTATTAATGTTCATGTAGTAATTAATAATTATTTTTTCCCCCGAGCAATGTTTTAGAAGTAAAGGACCAATATCTTCCATCTGTAACTTGGAAGGCAGATATCTACCATCTGCAACTGACTGCAAGAATAACATGGCACGGCACTAGTAAACACTTGGCAATGCAGCTTGCTGGCATGGTCACGATTATTCCATGTTAATCAGAGTCTATACCATTGTGTCTGCTTGCGCGAGGATTCTTATGCATATGCATGCCTATCATGCCCACTGTGTAATGATAAATATAGTGTTACTTAGATAAAACTGGACTGCTGAATTAAAACTGGAAACATTGATACAGTTGTTGCCAACAGCAGCTAAATACAGTAGATTTCACCTCCCTTCCTTAGCAGGTGTGAAAATCAAAGCAACCATTTGATTGGCTGCATTGAGCACATTTTCTTTTTTGACAGTTTTCAGTAAAAATGGAATAGCAGTCAATTTTGTTTTGTTTTGGACAGATTAGAGAAGTGTTTGAATTTTAGGCAATGGACAATGGGAAAACTGAGGGCATCCAGCACATTCCCTCCATCATCATCTGTTTTACATATTTACAGAATGCTATCAATGGGAAAGAGAACCTTGTTTGCAAATGCAATAAAAGATAAAGAAAAAAAAAAAGAGAGAGAGACAGAGAGATAATGGATTATCAGTTTGTGCTTGGCCTGAGACATTTCGAAGAGAGCAAAGCCCTGAAGATTTTGAAGTTTAGTTTAAAGGATAAGTTCACATTTGGTAGAAGTTTCCTCGTACTATCTGTCAGATTTGAAAACAGCGTGGCCGCATCACTCATTCACAGAGTTCTGTGAATGAGTGCATACAAGTCCTGGCAACCTTAGCGGCTGTCGGCTTGTAGTTTTCAATGAACTACCACAGTGCTGTGGAGCGCCGTGGTAGTTCATTGAAGCCCAAGTGCATTGGGCGAAACATGTAGGATTGCATCCCCTTACATACATCCCGTACGTGACGTCACCACGCACATTGGCCATCTCAGCTCGACCTTCACTGCATCCATGGGCAACTAAGCTTTCCTAGCCTCACACCTACTGTGGACTATCCATACCGCCGGCACTGTGTACACTGTACAGGAGCAAACAAGACGCCACCTGGCGAACGGCAGACCTGCTGCCATACTCTAAAGGACTGCCGATGTGGATGGTAAAGCAAATGTCATTAAAGGAAGGGTGAGATGCTAGTTATGATGTGCTTATATTGGCGGTGCTCCAGCCCCCTAACACTACATTTGTGAGGTCACTGAGGTGATTGTATTGTGGCAAGCTACTCTGTGTCATCAATATTTCATCATCATCATACATCTGGACTGCTGTTGACTTTTCAGTACTCTTTATTATACAACTGTGCTAGCGGACTATCTATCCAGGCACTACACGTGACTGTATTATATCACATGCCTATTGATCAATATGTGTTCCACATGATTTATCTGTCAGCAATCTAAATATCAAGGAATGATATAAGTGAGTTATTTCACTACTACTTTGGATGCTATCCATCAATTGCCGCATTATCCTCTGAGGCCCCCCCATAGCTTTATGCTACACTATCTACTACCCCCCATGTATGAACGTGGCCAAGTAAGCAGCTGCTTGGGTGACTAGACAACGTTGTCTTTTTAATTTTGTGAGGTGGCAGGTAGTGTTTTTAGCTCACTTTTGTACATTATTTGTTTATACATATTTTTCAATAAAGCCATTCTTGATTAAGCTGCATGGTCCCATTTGAAACTTCCTTTCAAGCGGTATCTCTTTATCCTTGCTTTCTGTCTGAATTGTTTATGAGTTTCAGTGACCACACCTACTACTTTTCTACACTGGGTGGAGTCAGTAACAATTTGGCATCTGATATGAGTGCAGGTTATCTTGCATCTACCGGCATCTTTTTTTATTGGCTATAGAGGCCCTTGGCATATCTTTTTTATCTGTTAGTTCATTGAAGCTTCTTGGATGTGCTGTGCAACACTGTTAGTGTGGAGAAACTGTGTGTCACAAAACAGGTTCTGAAAGTAGAAACCGGGCAATAATCTGGTAGTGGAGCAAGACAGAGACCAAGTGGTTTGCTTCAGTAAAGAGAGCCCACTAAATGCAGTGTATCTGGCAACTTGGAGGTAGAATGGATTTAGACTTATTCTAAGTCTCTGATCAGATGAAAATGTAATGATTGCAGAGTCTTGTGCCACAGTCTCTAAAGAAGCGGACAGAGCAGCCTGAGAAGAATGATCCCAGGGTACAATGTGCGGCCTCTGAGTGAACAGCACTAACCTGCTGGCCTAACACATCATGGAAGGCTGGGAGGTAGAGGCCTTGTAATACATTGTTTGTAGCAGGGGGGGCTAAGTGAGACTATGATTTAAGAAGTGTCTTCTGCTTTGAAGAGATTGATTTGTTATGGAAACAAAAAACAGTTGAAAGTGAGTGCTATAAAAAGATGAGAAGAAACACACATAAGTGGGGCAGCAGATGGCCAAGTTACAAGGTCAAAAACTGAAAGTCTGAACTGTCCGACAGCCAGTTTCCATCAGAACCAATTACAATGGACAAATATGTTGCCATTAAGCCATAGACAGATCGATTTTCTTTCCTTCGTTTTTTTCCCTGCTGGGAGAACAGTGATAACTGCTAGCAGCTATAATAGCCACAAGTAAATAATCGCATATAAAATCAGACAGGCTGGTTGTACCCAAGCTGATCAATTGATCAACTTGGGTACATTCAGTCTACCCATACATGGTTCGAAGCTCGGCTGGTCCCTGTTGAACCAGCCGAGATTCGAACAGTCTATGGCTGGCTTTCGTAATACCATAGCTCCCAACTGTCCCTCAATTGGAAGGGTTGTCCTTTCGTAACCAAATTCCTCTGTCCCTCATCCCCCTTCAGGTGACCCTCTTTTTGGCCTAATGTACAGACCTCTCTGAAAAATATACCATTTAACTACCCAATGTCCACAAACCTTTCATCTGACCTCTATAATACTGCATTTGGTATTTTGAAAATGAAAAAGTAGCGGTGGATTTAACCAATCATTATTTGTGAATTATTTCTTAAAGTAGAATTCCAGCTAAAACCAAACTGCTCCAAATGCTCCCTTCTAACCTTACATACTAACTAACCTGCATTAAATTCAAGATGTACATACAGTGGCAAAAAAAAAAAAAAAAGATGTACATACAGTGGGGATCGAAAGTTTGGGCACCCCAGCTAAAAATTTGTATTAATGTGCATAAAGAAGCCAAGGAAAGATGGAAAAATCTCCAAAAGGCATCAAATTACAGATTAGACATTCTTATAATATGTCAACAAAAGTTAGATTTTATTTCCATCATTTACACTTTCAAAATAACAGAAAACAAAAAAATGGCGTCTGCAAAAGTTTGGGCACCCTGCAGAATTTATAGCATGCACTGCCCCCTTTGCCAAGCTGAGACCTGCCAGTGTCATGGATTGTTCTCAATCATCGTCTGGGAAGACCAGATGATGTCAATCTCAAAGGTTTTAAATGCCCAGACTCATTTGACCTTGCCCCAACAATCGGCACCATGGGTTCTTCTAAGCAGTTGTCTAGAAAACTGAAACTGAAAATAGTTGACGCTCACAAAGCTGGAGAAGGCTATAAGAAGATAGCAAAGCGTTTTCAGATGTCAATATCCTCTGTTCGGCATGTAATTAAGAAATGGCAGTCATCAGGAACAGTGGAAGTTAAAGCAAGATCTGGAAGACCAAGAAAAATATCAGACAGAACAGCTCGCAGGATTGTGAGAAAAACAAATTAAAACCCACGTTTGACTGCACGATCCCTCCAGAAAGATCTGGCAGACACTGGAGTTGTGGTACACTATTCCACTATAAAGAGATACTTGTACAAATATGGTCTTCATGGAAGAGTCATCAGAAGAAAACCTCTTCTACGTCCTCACCACAAAAATCATCGTTTGAACTTTGCAAATGAACATATAGACAAGCCTGATGCATTTTGGAAACAAGTTCTGTGGACCGATGAGGTTAAAATTGAACTTTTGGCCAGAATGGCAAAGGTACGTTTGAAGAAGAAGGGGCACAGAATTTAATGAAAAGAACCTCTGTCCAACTGTTAAGCAT